GGATCACCTGAAGTCAGGAGTTCGAGACCAGCCTGGCCAACCTGGTGAAATCCTGTCTCTACTAAAAATACAAAAATTAGCTGGGTGTGGTGGCGGGTGCCTGTAATCCCAGCTACTCAGGAGGCTGAGGAAGGAGAATCACTTGAACCTGGGAAGCGGAGGTTGCAGTGAGCATAGATCGCGCCACTGTACTCCAGCCTGGGTGACAGAGCAAGACTCTATCTCAAAAAAATAATACAATTAAAAAAAAAGTAAGATAAAATTTAAAGTCTATATTCTGCAAGAGGAAAAAGTTCTAAGATCTGTGTCACAACATAAATATACTTAACACAATAGAACACTACACTTAAAAATGGTTAAGATGGGCCAAGCGCAGTGGCTCATGCCTGTAATCCCAGCACTTTGGGAGGCTAAGGCGGGCGGATCACGAGGTCAGAAGATCAAGACCATCCTGGCTAACACGGTGAAACCCTGTCTCTACTAAAAAATACAAAAAATTAGCCAGGCGTGGTGGCAAGCGCCTGTAGTCCCAGCTACTTGGGAGGCCGAGGCAGGAGAACGCAGTGAACCTGGAGGCGGAGCTTGCAGTGAGCACAGATCACGCCACTGTGCTCCAGCCTGGGTGACAGAGCGAGACTCTGTTAAAAAAAAAAAAAAAGTGGTTAAGATGTAGCTAAGTATGGTGGCTTATGCCTGTAACCCCAACACTTCCAGAGGCAGGCAGAATGCTTGAGCTCATGAGTTCGAAACCAGACTGGGTAACACGGTGAAAGCATGTCTCTTCAAAAAATTAGCCCATGTGGTGGTGGGTGCTTGTAATCCCAGCTACTTGGGAGGCTGAAGCAGGAGAATCGCTTTAGCCCAGGAGGCAGAGGTTGTAGTGAACCGAGATGGCACCACTGCACTCCAGCCTGGGCGACACAGCCAGATCTTGTCTCAAAAAAAAGAAAGAAAGAAAGAGTAAAATGGTACAAAATTAACCTATGAATATCAAAAAGTAATCCAAAGGAATGTAGGACCCAATGTCTAAAAAAAGTACAGGCTCATTCAGAAATTATTTTTTTTCCTTTCAGGATCTTTTCTTCATTGAAGAACAACTCACTATAAACCTAAAGCCATGTAAAATGTACAACTCAGTAAGTTTTGATTATCATGTTTTAAAAGATCACATACAACTGTTATATATGGACACAAACTACTTCTTTTTTAAATTTTATTTTATTTTTGTAGAGACAGGATTCTTGCCATGTTGCCCAGGCTGGTCTCAAACCTTGGTCTCAAGAGATCCTTCCACTTTGGCCTCCTGAAGTGCTGAATTACGGGCATGAGCCACTGCATCCAGGCTGTAACTGCCTCTTAATGAAATAACGTAAGATACATTTGGATTTTGTATACAAAAGATGATTCAGTCCTGCTACAGCCATTGAGTATAATAAGCATAATAAATAAAATAAGGGACTAAAGGCCTAAAACCCAGTGTTCCGTTACCGAATGACTGACAGTAAAAATCAACTTGATATTTTTTAGCTAAACTAAAATTTTAGTTATTTTTATAACATTATTTAATACATAAGTTTGCATAGCATGTTGCAATTGTGTTGTTATGCAAACTAGTATAGCGTAATTAAACATCGATAAATTAATAATCATATTCTAAATGTTTGAAAAACACTCTGCAATAAATCCAATATTAGTATCAATGTGACACAAGTGTTTTAAAATTTCTGTTTCGCCGGCGTGGTGGCTCACGCCTGTAATCCCAGCTCTTTGGGAGGCTGAGGTGGGCAGATCACCTGAGGTCAGGAGTTTGAGACCAACTACAGCCAACATAGTGAAACTCCATCTCTACTAAAAATACAAAACTAGCTATATGTGGTGGTGCATGCCTGTAATCCCAGCTACTGGGAAGCTGAGGCAGGAGAACTGCTTCAACCCGAGAGGTGGAGGTTGCAGTGAGCTGAGATCACACCAGTGCACTCCAGCCTGGGCCACAAGAGTGAAACTCCATCTCAAAATAAAATAAAATTTCCAGTAGCATGTTTAAAGCATCTGGCATGGTTCCTGATATACAGTACGAGCTCAGCAAATATTGGCTATCATTATTGTGCCACATAAGCATACCTGAAAAAATATATGAAATCATTAAAGCAATGTTGAGACAATATGAACGAACTATAAAAACTAGTAAGAAAAGTAATCTAGGGTGGCAGTTTGGCAAAAGCACTTAGAAATTTCTAAATGGATTTCCTGGGTTTTTTTTTTTTTCATTAAGGCTTAGACAATGGCAAATTAATCCTACTTATCAGGAACTATTATAAAAAGTATATTCAACCAATTTCTATATATAAATGCCTAACCTTAATACTACTTTTTTTTTTTTTTTTTTTTTTTTTGAGACAGAGTTTCGCTCTTGTTGCCCAGGTTGGAGCGCAATGGCATGATCTCGACTCACTGCAACCTCCATCTTCCGGGTTCAAGCGATTCTCCTGCCTCAGCCTCCCGAGTAGCTGGGATTACAGGCATGAGCCACCACGTCTGGCAATAATAAATATTTTACTTTGTAAGGAGTCAAAGATGGAGTAGACATCAAGCTTTCAGTGTTTGGTATAAGTACATGTATTTTAGAGAAAATAAGGAGCTCTGGGTCCTAGAAATTGTCTCAAAATATAACCATTTTAGTTTGAAAATCTAAAAGGATCTGACTTTAAGCTGTTAGTCACAAACCAGCCTAATCAGATAACTTCTATGTGCATCAGTCCCTTCATTTGTAAAACGGTGATCAGGCACACAAAATTAAAAACAGATCATAAAATGTCACTATCAGTAATACAGAACATAGTTAAGTAATATTTAATGCACATAAAAAAGCCAATGATACATTGAGAAAAAAATGCAGGGTTCAATTTCACAAAAAGTGGAAAAAAAACTATAAGTACATAGAAAAAAAGCCATACTTATGCCAAAATTTTAAGAGTATTTATATCTACTGAAATTACAGATGCAGTTTTTTTTTTTCCTCTACTTTCCACATTTTCTACCCTGAAAATATATTTTTGTAGTTGGGAAGGAAATACTATTTTGTAGTTGATATTTCTAGACTTATTTAATTTTCTTTCTTACATTGTATTTTTCAAATTTAAAAATTTTTTTTTTTTTTTGAGACAGAGTCTTGCTGCATTGCCCAGGCTGAAGTGCAGTGGCGCGATCTTGGTTCACTGCAAACACCACTTCTCAGGCTTAAGCAATCCTCCTACCTCAGCCTCCCAAGTAGCTGCGACTACAGACAGGCATGCACCACCACATTCTCAGCTAATTTTTTTTTTTTTGTGGAGATGAGGTCTCACTATATTGCCTAGGCTTCAACTTTTTTTTTTTTTTTTTGGAGTCTCCTCTGTTGCCCAGGCTAGAGTGCAGTGGCACATTCTCGGTTCACTGCAATCTCCACCTCCTGGATTTAATCAATTCTTGTGTCTCAGCCTCCCAAGAAGCTGGGACTCTAGGTGTGCACCACCATGATTGGCTAATTTTTTTTATTTTTTATTTTTTGTGGAGATGAAGTCTCACTATATTGCCTAAGCTTACATTTTTTGTTTGTTTGTTTTTTGTGATGGAGTCTCCTCAGTCACCCAGGCTGGAGTGCAGTGGCACAATCTTGGCTCACTGCAACCTCCACCTCCCGAGTTCAAGTGATTCTCATGCCTCAGCCTCCCAAGTAGCTAGAACTACAGGCACGCACTGCTACATTTGGCTTTTTTTTTTTTTTTCTTTTTTTTTTTAGTAGAGACAGGGTTTCGCCATGTTGGCCAGGCTGGTCTCAAACTCCTGACCTCAAGTGATATGCCCGTCTCAGCCTTCC